CCATGGGAGCAAATCCATTGCCCTGACCCCACATCCCGGATGAAATTGAAGAAAATCTACTATTTATTTTGAAAATATATATTGTAACAAGTCCCCCCCCCCCTCCCCTTACGAGAAAAATGAGTTAAATACCATGGCCCTAACCCTATCGAAATCATAACTTGAAACTGACACTAACCTTTATACTTTTTAACACACAACTCAAACTCCCAACAAACAAAACGCAACTAACCAAATAAAAAATAAAGAAATAAAACAGTTCAAACAGCCAGCATGATTACACCTCGACATCCAGGTCACACAGTACTCTAAACGTCACGCCACAGCTTTTGTTAACAATAAAACGCTATAGAATATCAAAGACATTTCAACTCGGGTAAATATTCAGCTGCGGAATATAAAAAAATATCACTTGACACTATTCCTGTCTGTTCTAGACCGTTTGATTGACGGATGCTAATTATAGCGGCATCATTAGCCTACATTATTGTTATATTCCTAATTTCTGCCGTCTGCCCAACATATTTTAATGTATTGATTTTTAAATAGTGTCAAGGTTTTTTATGTGTGGAAATGTCAGGGGGATTCAGACTGTCTGTTTTAAAATGAAAATAATATGAAAGGTCTAATAAAGTTTATTATTATTATTATTATTATTATTATTATTATTATTATTATTATTATTATTATTATTATTATTATTATTATTATTATTATTATTATTATTATTATTATTATTATTATTATTATTATTATTATTATTATTATTATTATTATTATTATTATTATTATTATTATTATTATTATTATTATTATTATTATTATTATTATTATTATTATTATTATTATTATTATCTATATATATAATTCTCTTCTTCGAGCCGTTAGAAAACAAGCTGCAAACGCTCTCCCTACCTCCCCACCCCTACATGGTTTTAGTGAGCTGTGTTCACTCTAAATGTTTACAAGCAGAGCCAACGATTTTAAAGGTAGGGGGGGGGGGAGGGGGGAAGGAAAGGGGGGGGGGGGTTTGGTCCTTAACGAGCTACTTATAGTGTTTTAAAGAAATATTTTCAGTGTCAGCGTTGGTACTGCCGAATTCACAAATTATGAATTATTGAAAATTAGAAACAACTAAATAGCGGCGTATGTTATGCCGCGGGCCGGCTCGTTATTATTATTATTATTATTATTATTATTATTATTATTATTATTATTATTATTATTATTATTATTATTATTATTATTATTATTATTATTATTTATATTATTATTATTATTATTATTATTATTATTATTATTATTATTATTATTATTATTATTATTATTATTATTATTATTATTATTATTATTATTATTATTGTTATTATTATTATTATTATTATTATTATTATTATTATTATTATTATTATTATTATTATTATTATTATTATTATTATTATTGTTATTATTATTATTATTTATATTATCATTATTATTATTATAGTGTGCTGTCTTAGCACACTACATTACATTTACAGTTGATATTAAAGTTTCCGAAACTAGAGTTTTATTTAGGAATTAGTTTTCATATCTTTAACAAAAATTTAAGTTGTTTGAAAAAGTTAAATATAGATTGATATATTGCATGCTTGCGTCAAGGCTTTATAACAATAAACAGTTATGCTAGCGTAAAGTATGTAGATGGGGGTAGGAAGGGAGTGAAACTGTATCGGAGGTTAATAAGTTAAAAAAAAGAACTGTGTATGTAGTAGCCTTCTCGCTGACCGAACTAGATTCTGATGGTAGAGGTCCTTTTGACTAGACTCATATACCTACACAAAAAAGCCGTAGTGTATATTCAAAACGGGCTTCAATTATGGATCGACTACAACACAAAACAATTACAATGCTTGTAAAATGGTTTTGTTATCTTCTTTTGTTCATGTGAATCGGTTTTTGATTGTGTCCCTTTAATATTAATATTTTATGAGTTATCGTCCCTTGCATGCTTAAAAAACAACACTCGAAAGTCAATGCGGTGTGTAGACAATGCCAGTATGATGATGTTGCCAGCGGACGGTGACGACTGTTGTGGTCTATTTTTAGCTTCGCCTCTCTTCACTATGTGCGTCTTTTGATGTTTCTTACACTAGTAGCAACGACATAGGGAAATATTCTGTAAAAAAAAAAAACATTAACGTTTGTAACGATTCAATATTTTGCTAATGCTTGAATATTTAAATTGCACTCAATTTTTAGGTAGTAAAATTAAAAAAAAAAATTCTTTAGGTAAATCCGGTGAATTATTTTCATTTAAATCAACGAAAGTAAAATTGATCAAGCTATTTGTGATGAAGACGATATGCCTTAATCAATTCTTTCAAAGTTAAAAATGGTTAAAATGTTAAAATTTAAATATTGAACAGTTTAGAGAAAGCAATAAGAAAATGAAGCTAAATTGAATTTCGTTTATTTTTAAGTTAAAACAGATGGAATCTTATCCAAACGTAAACACTTTCACTGTTTTCCCGGTACATTTTCATACTCCTGATACTCTTTGGAATATTTGTCATCAAATTTTTTTAAACGGGATGGAAAATTATCTTGTTCCTCCAAGTATTAAAAAAAATGTTTTTAAAATGAATTTTTTTCTCTACTCTACCTGTCTTTCTCAATTTCATAACAATTATTTTTTTTTTATGAAATATTCTAGAGTGAGTGTTTAAAATTATTTTTTTTTATGAAATATACTATAGTGAGTGTTTAAAATTATTTTTTTTTATGAAATATTCTAGAGTGAGTGTTTAAAATTATTTTTTTTAATGAAATATTCTAGAGTGAGTGTTTAAAATTATTTTTTTTATGAAATATACTATAGTGAGTGTTTAAAATTATTTTTTTTTTTATGAAATATTCTAGAGTGAGTGTTTAAAATTATTTTTTTTTATGAAATATTCTAGAGTGAGTGTTTAAAATTATTTTTTTTAATGAAATATTCTAGAGTGAGTGTTTAAAATTATTATTTTTCTATGAAATATTCTAGAGTGAGTGTTTAAAATTATTATTTTTCTATGAAATATTCTAGAGAGTGTTTAAAATTATTATTTAATGAAATATTCTAGAGAGTGTTTAAAATTATTATTTAATGAAATATTATAGAGTGAGTGTTTAAAATTATTATTTTTTCTATGAAGTATTCTCGAGTGAGTGTTTAAAATTATGTTGTTCACCCGAATCATCAGTGTTGATTTCTGGTTTTTCAGATTTAATTTAATTTTCCTTTTGTTTAATTAAAAGATGGTTTACTTGAGTTTCCCGGGACTTGGTGTGGTTTTGTTAAACATTTTTGCCCTTGTGGGAACACACGTATTTCTGGAATAGATTTCTTTGTTCCACGGTGTGTTGTAGAATATGGCGTTGTTGGTTTTGTAGTGATGTAGATTGTTGTGTTACATATCACCCCGACTCAATAAGGATTGTAAGTCTCTATCTCTCTCTTAAAATTCGAAATCTCGTCAGTCAGGGAGAGATATACATTTTCGAACTAAATTATTTGTTTTGAACATGATTCACATTAATAACAAAAAAAAATAAATAAAAAAATAAATAAAAATACGGCTATTTGTTTCTAGGCCTCGTTTCAAGATTTTAAAGTACCAAGTTGGCCTAAAATTACAATTATAAAAATGCTACTTATAATAGCATCAAATTAATTGCCGTTTGGCCAAGGCATTTAATAATATATTAATATTGTAATTTATTGTATATTAATATTTTAACTAGGTTTGGGACAACTAGTTACAGATTCGAATAAATAATAAAAACTTTCACGCCTGTTTAAAACTAATCACAATTTAAGGCAGGATATATTTTAGCTTAAAGTTAGCCTACAACGTGTAGTCTATTATTATTATTGTTTTCAATTTACAATAATAATAGCGGAAGTATTTTTTTCTATTTTTTTTACCGATTTAATAAAAATATTCACATTGATGAAACGTTGATAATTTATTTACACGCCTTATTATAAAATGTAAAAAAAAACCTAACACGATGCAAATTTTGTGTTTGTAAATTAATTTGAAATGCGGGACACACTTTTTTTAAATTTATAAATTTATAAACTGATTTTAGTGATGGTGTTTAACATATTTTGTGCCCATATTTTGATCATCAGAAAGCGTACAGTAGACCGAAATTTAGTTGCCCTAAACTATTTTTTTTTGCCAGCATTGGTCGTTAAATATTAATTAGGAAGAAGCAATCAGTTAAAGTGGGTCAACCTAACAGTGTTGACACCCGCATCTTAAAAAGCATACACATAACACACAACACAAACTTAACATACAATTATAAACGTGTGTATTTAGAACAATGTCGTTTTTGATGACGAAAGTTGACAACAGGTATTTTATAAACTGTGAATAAAACAAATAAACAATTCGAATTGGGGTTCATTAAGTTTATTATATGAGAGAAAAAAATTTTGGAAAAAAAAATAGAATAAATTCTAGACTGTACAATATTAAACAAAGAAGTTCTATAAAATATCATAGCGTTCTAGGCTTAATGCCGCCATTGTAGCATGCCCAAATGTGGTACAAATAATTCTAAACGTATTTTTATACTGCGTTGTTATTTGTCTAAATCAGGGGTCTCCAAACTTTTCAGTCCGAGGGCCGCATTAACTATCGAATTTCAGTTCGGGGGCCAGTTTCTTCCAGGCATGTCTTTAATTTTTCTGGGCAAAGTTCCTCAGCCATCACAATCAAACGTTTATTTCCGTGGACAAAAAGATCTCTGCGGGCCGGATGAGAGGACCTTGCCGGCCGCATTCGGCCCGCGGGCCGTAGTTTGGAGACCCCTGGTCTAAATAATTGATAAATTGATATAATTTCTTTCTCATAAAATTTGAGTCATTTGCTTTCAGAAAATGAGTGTTTATTTTGTTCTGGAATCAATAGGTTGATTTATCTTATGCTAAGAGGCTAACTTGTCAAAGCCATTCTTTTTTCTTTCTTATCATGGTCTATTCGTGGCCAGCATGTATGGCCTTCGGTCAATGGATGGTCGAATGATATGGCCAAGCGTTTTATTTGTGGTCGATGATGTCTACTAACGGTCGATGAGTCGTCGAATAGTGTTGCCCAATTGTCATTTGTTGGTACAATGATATAAAAATATACTGTGTGTAAAAATAATGAACAATATGACGGAGTTTAGCGTTCGTATCTTTCAAATTACCATCACAAAATGAACATGACTTTAAAAAAAAATCATGACGTAACAATAAAAATGACGTCATTATTAACACCGAAAAAAAAATGGTTGCCCGTAATTTGTAATCGACTCGTTCAAGAGTCAGAACTACCTTGTGTTGAATTCACGAGTCACACTGACTCTCGCACACACACACGAACACAGACTCACAGATGACGCACACACGTGATCCACACGCGCGCGCACACAGCTAGTGTGAGGTACAAGGGACGGGCATGCGCAAAGAACTCACATTCACGTCACCAAGAACCATCAGCGAACAGACTTAAGCTTTGAACGAACAGACCGACACATGGCGCTTTGTGACGAGATGGCAAACAATTAATTTTTAAAAAAAATGCGAAAATAAAACCATGTTGTATCTTTCTTAATGTGTAAGTCTCTGACGAGTGGTTGGGTCAGAAAACTCCATAGTTCGAGTATTGAAACTCATTGATTCGAGACTCTAGACACTTTAATTCGAGACTCGTAATTTCTGTATCGAGAATCAATCAGGTATTATGATAAATTTATGAGTGAAAGATGTGTATACCAAAATAGCGTACACGTCGAACTTGTGCATATGTACATCCTCCTCAAAATATTCACATCACTGCATTAATTTGTCACCACTCGTGCGCATATCGCTATCAAAGTCACCACCTTTAAAAATAATTTTTGACAGTTCCAATGTTGTCTTAATATACATAGGAAGTTAAAAAAACATTGTAAATTAACGTTTTCCTTCTTACAATAATCACCAATCAAACATTGCTTAAGAGCTAAGTCCATCAAAGTGTTATGAGTGTTTTCGTAACAGCACTTCCCATTGGCTGTAGAGAAGTTTTGACGTCAATGACGTAGCAATCGTGTTGTAATAGGTGCACTTGAGTTGAGAGTGGCTTCACACGCGAACGTTAGACCCGCTGAAAACGAGCACATTTTTGTCGAATTTTAAAGAAATTGTTACTTTAAAATCCAAAGTTAGGGTATGATAAAACTTGATCAGTTGAATGTTGGGCGTAAACCCTTTTAATTACGGTTCGACTGGCTATTCCTTCAGAAAACCGTTTGCCCATTTTATGTACGGGTCGACTTGCTAGTCGTTCAGAAAATCTTTTACTTGTTCATGTAGTATGGGTGACTGGCTATTCATTCAGAAAACCGTTTGCCCGTTTATGTACGGGTCGACTTGCTAGTCGTTCAGAAAAACTTTTACCCATTCATGTACGAGTCGACTGGCTAGTTGTTCAGAAAACCGTTTGCCCGTTTATGTACGGGTCGACTGGCTATTCATTCAGAAAACCGTTTGCCCGTTTATGTACGGGTCGACTTGCTAGTCGTTCAGAAAAACTTTTACCCATTCATGTACGAGTCGACTGGCTAGTTGTTCAGAAAACCGTTTACCCGTTCATGTACGGGTCGACTGGCTAGTTGTTCAGAAAACTAGCCCAGAATGATCGTGTGTCGTAGGGGTGTCTTCTAATGTACAAATAGAACTGTGCTCAGCACAGCATCGAGGTCTGGAACTTGATACCGGAACCGTTCATCAGGCGGATGGCTCGCGGTACGTGTAATGTCAAGCCATGGCCCCCACCATATTGCTGGTCGAGAGGTTCAGGCCGCTGGAGGGGATGCTGGGGATGGTGCCGTAGGAGGAGCCGAAAGATGGCGACTGCAGGGAGGAGGGGAAAGATGGCGACTGGAGAGAGGAGGGGAACGACGGAGACTGGAGAGACCCTGGGAAGTTGTTCGAGAATCCACCACCTAATCCACCGCCCAATCCACCGCCGAGACCTGCCGACATCTGAGAGTGGTGGTAGCCGCCGCCCAAGCCCTGGGCGCCCATCGAGGTCATGTAGGGGTTCATAGAGTGCATGGAGGGGCTGAAGGAGGGGGCGCCGAACCCGCTGAAGGGCTTGGTGTCCCGCAGGAAGTCGGACATGGCCACCATGCCCTTCTTGCCCTTCTTGCTCTTGGTGGACATCTTCCGGTTACGGGTTTGGATGCCATCTTTTTTCATGGTCAGCGGCCGGTTAACCTGCAACACACACAAACAAAAGCTCGTTAAAATTTTGTATTTTTAATTATTATTAAGACCAGAGATAGCATGAACTGATTAATTTTCCGTGAATTTGAGAAACAATTTCCAGTTTTTATTCGTAAAATTATAAAATTGGATGAAAATTAAACAATTCATATTAAAAAATAGAGTTTTGAAAAGTAGAAAACGTATATATTATTATAATATGACAAAAAATTGTTGGCGAATATATTGGCTGAATATATTAAGTGTAGTGGTCTTTGACGTAAAGTAAAGTTATCTTTTCAAACCTGACGGTCTGTAGGGCAAGTGAAGTAGTGTTCACTTATTTCTGTGACCTCGGTATATGAAGAGATAGTGTGGTCAGTACTATGCCCAGCCGCCTTTACTTTCCCTAACATGAGTTAGGTACCCATCAGAGTTGGGTGGACTCAGGGACGGTCTACTGACTTGAACCCGGATTCGAACTCGAGATTTACGGGTTAGCAATCCAGCTCTCTGCCGCTAGACCACTCCGTCCCACTCTAGCACGTATTTTAACCTTAAATTTGTACAGAAATTCGAGATTCCCGAGTGAATTGTCAGCGATATTAAAATAGCCCAATGTTCGCAGGTTCTTTAAGTAGGGTAGTCAAGCTAATGAACAGGGATTTTAAAATGTCGCCCAAGAAAAAACAATAACAATGTCAAACTGGTATGGCCAAAACACCACATAAAGTAGGCTATATGTATGTGTATGAGTATGCATGTATATGTGTGTGAGTACAGGTCAAGAAATTGTTAAATATTCTTGTAAGTGTGCTGCTGATTTTAAGCGTATGCGGTAGGGTGTGTATGTGTGTTTGTGTGTGTGTGTGTCCAATTGGTCACATACAGCAATAAATGTGTGATCGTGTGTGTAGCGGGGGAGAGTGTGTGTGTGTGTGTATCCAAATGTGTCAAGCCATTGTTACACACTGCTATGGAAGTGTAATTGTGTTTGGGGGAGAGGGTTGGGGGGGGGGGGTCACAAGTGTGCCAGGAAATTGCTACACACCGTCACCCAGATACTATGTGTGTGTGTGGGGAGGGGGGGGGAAGTGTGAATAAAATTCCTGACAAAATATGTCCACGTAGATTAGAACCTCCTCGGTCGATATGATCTAATGACAGTATGAATGGCTGACCCAGCGACGGGAGACAACTCCAGTCTGTGTTCGTGATGTCATTGAAGCCAGATACAGTTTCATACGTTTCCCGCTAAATGGGGGGCAATTAACGGGGTTAGTATCGTAAATGGGGAGGGGCGGGGGTAATACGTGCGATAATCTACGGGCGCTTGATCCCATATCGTATGGCCGAGTCTATGGCTCGGCTCGCAGCTGAATACAAATGAATTCATTCTAATATAAACAAGGAGGAGAAATATTAATTCTTGGGGACGGGGGTGGAAAGCTGGGGGTAGGGGGAGGCGAGGAGAAACACAGGGGCGGGGCGGTGGGTGGTGACTTATTTTGGTTTACTTATGACTCTCGTGAGTTGCTATACTCATTGATGCATACAGTGGAGTGAGGGTTGAATTCTGATTAGCCGTGGTGAGTAGGTTTTGGTGAGTAGGTTTTGGTGAGTAGGTTTTGGTGAGTAGGTTTTGGTGAGTAGGTTTTGGTGAGTAGGTTTTGGTGAGTAGGTTTTGGTGAGTTGGTTTTGGTGAGTAGGTTTTGGTGAGTAGGTTTTGGTGAGTAGGTTTTGGTGAGTAGGTTTTGGTGAGTTGGTTTTGGTGAGTAGGTTTTGGTGAGTAGGTTTTGGTGAGTAGGTTTTGGTGAGAATGTGACAAGAACTAGGCATCCATTAATGGGAAATAGAAGAAAAGCTGATTTCGTTTAGTTCACTGCTTCGCTTTTGTCAGCCCGTAGAGCCTCCCATAAACGTTAACACACAAACAGATATAAACATAAACTCGCTGACTACAACATCGCACGAATAACAGAACAGCCAACCGGCTGCAACAACACGGAGCAGCCCAGCACACCGTAACTGAATGAACAGCCCGCATCTAAAAACAACAGGGCTATGAAATCCACAACACAGATGGACATAGACAACACGAGCCTTGCAATGTAGAACCCCAACCTCCTCTCAATGGGAGCAGAAAACCCAACCCCATAAGGACTCACGATAATGACGTCATATAGAGCTAAATAGAGCAAACAGTCCCAGTTCAACAGAACATACAGCCCCACCCCAACATAACATAGCCCCACCCCAACAGAACATACAGCCCCACCCCAACATACAGCCCCACCATCACAGGACACCAGAGTCCACCCACGACCCCCAATAGTGCCCCAACACAAGCAAGGTGAAGGTCCAGGTGCCCGGCATCTCATTAGCTGCTCGCTTGTGGCCCAATTATCCCCCAGCCCCGGCCCAATTTGTTGCCACCCTGCAAGGGGCGCGCGTCACCCCACACAGAGATAAATGGCGGACTGTCTCCTCGCACTTCCGCGACCTTCTTCTAGCGCCATTGTGTTTTACATTGTACATGTGGGACATTGTGTTTTACATTGTACATGCAGTGTCATTGTGTTTTACATTGTACATGTGGGACATTGTGTTAGTACATTGTACATGCAGTGTCATTGTGTTTTACATTGTACATGTGGGACATTGTGTTAGTGCATTGTACATGTGTGTCATTGTGTTAGTACATTGTACATGTGGGACATTGTGTTGGTACATTGTACATGTGGGACATTGTGTTTTACATTGTACATGTGTGACATTGTGTTTTACATTGTACATGTGTGACATTGTGTTTTACATTGTACATGTGTGACATTGTGTTTTACATTGTACATGTGTGACATTGTGTTTTACATTGTACATGTGGGGCATTGTGTTTTCACATTTTACATGTAGTGACATTGTGTTAGTACATTGTACATGTAGTGTCATTGTGTTTTCACATTTTACATGTAGTGACATTGTGTTTTCACATTTTACATGTAGTGACATTGTGTTTTACATTGTACATGTAGTGACATTGTGTTTTCACATTTTACATGTAGTGACATTGTGTTTTACATTGTACATATAGTCACATTGTATTTTCACATTTTACCCATTGTGTTTTTACATTTTACATGTAGTAACATTGTGTTTTCACATTTTACATGTAGTGTTTTTAAATTTTATAGGTAGTGTAATTGTGTTTTCACATTTTATATGTAGTGTTTTTACAATTTATATGTAGTGTCATTGTGTTTTTGCATTTTATATGTAGTGTTTTTACATTTTACATGTAGTAACATTGTGTTTTTACCTTTTATATGTAGTGTCATTATGTTTTTACATTTTACACGCAGGTGATGTTAGAAAACTAACGCCCATATGTGTTGACAGATGCTACTTAAGTGCAATATGTTAATTATTGTACGCCAGACTTGTAACCTTGTCTTGCGGCCATTACGCATTCATGTAACACATGTACTCTCCCCTTGCTTGTATCAAATCAATATTTTCTTACATTGAACCAATATTTTGTTGAATATAGATCTAATTATAATTACTAATATCGTATGATGTAGGTTAGCTTGTGCTAACAATACACAATTTATATAAGATTTTGATACGCCGCTGTATAATGTAACTGGCTCTTAATCTTAGCCTGATGTAAATCAAGATGATACAGTAATTTGTTGTGTCGCTGTGTGAACGAACCCTAAACCTAACAACCTCTATCACACACTGACGTTGGCATTAGCTAGTCAAGCTTTCTGTGTGGGTTTTAGTAACAGCAAAACACAAAAAATATCAAGTACCTAACCTCTGTAACACACTAACGTTAGGCAAACAAGCTCACTATGTTTGTTTTCAACAACAGCAGCACACACAAAATATGAAGTACAACAGGGACAATATTAAGTCAACTCAAGTCAACTGACGGAACAGTTCTCACCCCCCCCACCCCACCACTACCATCATCACGCCACACACACACACTTGACGGCATATTTCCCCCGGCCCGGGGCAGTCGGGGGCCGCCACACAGTCGCGGCAGCAGCGAATTGGTACTCACGACACGGGCTGCTGGCTTCCACGCACGTCTGAGCAGCAATGATAAAACGTGAGCTATAGGAACAGGTGGATGCTGGGGGGGGGGGGGGGGGAGGGGGGGGGATGGGTGGGGTCTGTGTGTCGGGGGATGGGGGGGGGGGGGGGAATGTGACATGGGGCCGCCCGCTATACTTGCTCATGTGTTCATATTCCTATCTCTGATCCGTGTTCGATATAAATATACTAGCCGTCCCGGCCAGGCCCTGCGGCTCTGGCTTCTGTGAAAAACCTTTCTGTTAAAGACCATTACCTGTGTGTTTAGTAATCATCATAAACCCGGCATTGCACACCCAAACCAAAACCAAAACAACAAAACGCAAACATAACGCTAACACAATTACAAATACAAACGAAAACAAAAACCTAACAACTAACCCAACCACAACCACAAACACCAATACGAACACAAAGAAAAAAAAACGAAAAAGCAAACGAAAACAAACCAAATCCAAATCCAAAACCAACCACAAACCCAAAGAAAAAAAACACAAACGAAAAAACAAACGAAAACAAACCAAATACAAACGCAAAACCAACCACAAACACAAATACAAACACAAACGCAAAGAAAATAAAACACAAACGAAAACGAAAAAAGAAAGAACAAAAACGAACCAAATCAAAACGCAACCACTAACGCAAACCCAACCTAAACACAAAGAAAACACTAACGCGAACATAAACGCACAGTGCTCAGAGTCTAGCCCGGGGCGGAATCGCCTGTTTCAGCTTAATAAACGACTATAGTACCCCAACTTATTCATAGTCTTTTGCACTCACTTTAATGAACGTAGGCGCGAAACCGAACACGGGAGGCCCGGGACCCCAAATAGCACCCTGTCTGGGCGCCAGAGGACGCACCATGACGTCACCGCCTGATTGAACTTAGTAAACGACTATAG